AAATAAATAAATAAATAAATAAATAAATAAATAAATACAAGCAAAAACCCAAAACCCAACCAAACAAAAGAAAACCAAAAAAAAAAAGAAAAAAAACCCCAAAAGTGTAATAGGGCCAGGCATAGTGGCATAGGCCTTTAATTCTAGCCCTTCAGAGCAAGGGCAGACGATTTTTGTGAGTTCGAGGCCAGCCTGATCTAATAGTGCAACTGTTCAACTAGGGCTTCACAAAGGATTTGAATTTGTACCCTGAAATCCACATCATAGAAAGAGGAAATCAACTCTGACCTCCACACAATAAATAAAAGTTTTAAAAATCCTAAACAGCCAGGTGATGGTGGCGCACACCTTTAATCCCAGCACTTGGGAGGCAGAGGCAGGCGGATCTCTGTGAGTTCGAGACCAGCCTGGTCTACAGAGCAAGTTCCAGGACAGGCTCCAAAGCCACAGAGAAACCCTGTCTCGAAAAACAAACAAACAAACAAAAATAAATAAATAAAAGTCCTAAACAGAAGCAGGTGTATCTCTGTGAGTTCGAGACCAGCCTGGACTACAGAGTGAGTTCCAGGACAGGCTCCAAAGCTACACAGAGAAACCCTGTCTCAAAAAACAAAGCAAAGCAAAGCAAAACAAAAATCCTAAACATCTAAAGAAATGCATGGAGCAGATAAATATCAGACTTAGGAAAATGATACTCTTTGACTTTAAAGCTGGGAGATGTCAGAGAGGAAATTTCTTTGTGTAGTTAAGTACTGTTCAGTAGGAAGAAGGAAACAATTATTCCTCTTCACGTCCTTATCTATGGATGAGGGAGTTAGTGCTCTAGCTTTGTTCCAGAAAGTTATAATTCAGGAATTGTCTTCTAATTCTTTTAAAATTAAACAGAGCCATAGACAAGCCAATTCATCCATTTTATTTTATAGCCTGAGACACTAAAGATATATAACTGGGTAATATGCTCTGGTTTCAAGAAACAGCTAGACCAGAAATCAGACTTCCTGTTTATGTGAACAGACTTCTTTGAGAAGGAAGTGGCAGATATCAAGATGAGTTATGAACTTTTAACCAGCTTGTTTTTTGCTAAGTTTGATTGGTAGATATGGGCCCTCAACGTGTACAGCACATCAGTGTCAATGTGAAGGATAAGGCTCCGTTTGTTTATTTATTTATTTAGGCAGGGCCCTCCACATGCTGGTAAAGGCTCTATTTTCTAAGCCTTGTTCTGTTTGACATATTTATTAAGACATTGTTTTAACAAGTTAATTATGGCTTGGCACAATGGCACACACCTTTAATCCACCCATAAGGCAGAGGCAGGTGGACCTCTGTGAGTTCCAGACAGTCAGAGCTACAAAGTAGGAGTCTGTCTTCAGAAAATGAAAAAGTTATTTAAGTGTATGGGTGTTTTGCCTGTTTGTATGTCTGTGTATCACTTGTAGACAGTGTCCTTAGAGGCTGGAAGAAAGCGTCAAATGACCTGGAATTGGAGTTACAGATAGGTGCGGAGGGCCAAGTGAGTACTGGGAATCAGACCTGCGTCCTCCAAAAGAGAGGCCAGCACTCTTAATCACCGAGCCATCTCTCCAGTCCCCTTCCTTATTAAGGCTTTAGATGAAGACAAATTGTGCTGATAAATATTTAGACAAATAAAAAGGGAAAGGGTCGACCTTTTGGCTTGCGCCAGGGTGACACTAGCTCAGCCATGATTAGACTTACAATTTCTTCACCTGACTATCAGGCTCCTTTACTGGGCCACTTTCCAGGCCTTCCTTTTTTTTTTTTTTTTTTTTTTACTTTTGAAACCCAGGCTTGGGGCAATTATCTTTATCTGCTGAGTCAGCAGGCTGAGCCTCAGGTCTTAGTTTTTGGAAGCCCCTAAATAGCTGTTTGCAACCTGTGGATTGAGCCCTCTGGCTGGGGAAGGTTGAACCCAAAGACAATTTCACAAGGGTCACATCTCAGATATCCTGCATATCAGATATTTACATTACAAGTCATAACAGTAGCATAAATGAAGCTATGAAGTAGCAATGAAATTATTTAACGGTGGGGGGGTCACCACAACATAAGGAACTATATTGAAGGGTCACCGTGTTAGGAAGGTTGTGAACCCCTGCTCTAGACTGTTCATTTTAAAGAATCAGAACTGTATGAGGGGATTCTAAGTCTGATTCCAGCAGACAGTAGGAGGACTCTAAGTTAGTCAGATATTGTTTAAAAAAATAGCAAATTCCTGTTGGGAAATCAATTAATTTGAGAGTGAATCTCGCAATATAGTTCTTGTGGACGCAGAACTTGCTATGTCAGTCATGTGGGTCATGCTTGCATTTCCAGAATTATCAGGCAGAGAACCACCTCTAGTTCCAGACCAGCTTGACCTATATAACGAATTACAGCCCAGCCTGAACCACAGAACGTGGTCCTGTCTCCAAAACAGAAGAGAGTCAAACCAAATCAACCAAACAAAAAGTATTTGCACGAAGGGAGAAGGGGAAATACTTGACTGGGTTTTACCTAAAAGTGTCCTTCCCTCTCTTTTGAGGAAATCCATTGTTGACTTCAAGCTCTTCGTCAGCGACTGTACTAAGAGAATCACTTCCTCAGTGCCTTCAGAAATCCCTGACTCTCCCACTGGGAAAGGCTCTAAGTAGGAGCCGGGCACAACGGTGCAGGCAATATTCACAGCGCTCTGGAGGCAGAAGCCAGTAGATCTTGGTGTTCAAGGTCAGCCTGGTCTACCTAGTGATTTAGGACAGCCAGAGCTACTTGTGAGATCCTGCCTCAAGGAAAACAAAAAGAATGGGGTAGTGTTTACATTGGAAATAATAAATTCTTACTGTCTCCCAAAATGCCCAATTAATAAATTCGTAGTAGGGACCATGTAATGTGTAAATCAAGGGAGGGTACGGTCTTGTTTTCTTTGCATGACTGCATCTATTTCTGGGCGCCACATCTTAACACAAACAAGTTCTTGTTCAGGTAACTCGGTGGCTCATTGACACGTCAAAAAGAAATAATCAAAGGATCAGTAGGCTTAGCTTGTAGAGAATTGAGAGGACTGGGGATGGGATGTGGAAGCTGTCTCCAAAGAACCGGGTAGTAGCGTGGCCCGCCTTTAACCCAGCACTCTGGATTGCGGCAGAGGCTGGAGGATCTTTGTGAATTCGATGCCAACCTTGTCTACACAGAATGCCAGAACAGCCAGGGATACATAGAGATCCTGTCTCAAAACAAGACAAAACAAAATAAAACAAAAGAAACAAAAACAAAAAACGGGGTAGCATTTACATTGGAAGTAATGAATTCATACTGTCCTCCAAAAACACCCAGCTATTAAGAAGAAATTACAAGACAAAATATTTCAGCTCAGAAAATCCTCTCACTCAGAATTATACCGAAATAAATGAGGTTATCTGGGATAGGTGATGCTGTTTGGCACCGGCAGTTTGCTTGAGGAAGTTTCTCAACCCCAGGGGGTGGTGGGGAAGCTTGACCCGATTCTGTGATCCGAGTTAAGATCCATCTCACTATTCTTTGTCCTTCTCTTTTAGCATTTATCACTTATTTTGTAGTCATTCGTGAATAAACCAATTGTATGTTCCCCATTGAGAAACAACTGGGATGCAGTTTCCCTCGGCGGCCACCCCTGGGGAGTAAGAATGATTAAATTATATTAAGGGTTTTTTGAGGCTCTAAAGGCCACCTCTGATTATGCTCTTAGCTTTCTTCTGTTTTAATCGCCGGGGACATCGCTGTACATATCGCAAGATCTCGACAGGTCTCCCTATTCTTTCAAAAACCTCTTTATGCAGGGCATGGTGTTGCACGCCTTAAATCCCAGCACTCGGGAGGCAGACGAAGTGGACCTCTGTGAGTTCGAGGCTAGCTTGGTTTACATAGTGAGCTCCAGAACAGCCAGGGCTACACACAGATTTCCTGTCTCAAAAGTAAAATAAATACATAACTATCTCTAGCGGTCATCGTCCACGACTGGAGACTCTCTTCCTGGATTAGCATGTACTCGATGGTAGGTTCTTCAGCCTTTCTAGCCCTCTAGTCCTCCACGGGCTCCTCTATGGTTTCGACTGCCTCCCCGGAAGCTCTCGCAAACGCGACTTTGAGAGGCCGGAAGTCGAGCCGCAGCTGCTCGCAGTTTCAAAAATGCTGCGGAGGCCTTAGGAGCTACTCCTGCCGCCCCTCCCCCAGCTCGGAGGGGAAGCGACTCGTGGCGCGACCGTAAGGTGTGGCGGAGGGGTCTGGCCAGCGGGGTATGTGGGGGAGCCTCCGGGAGGCCCGGAGGCCACGTAGTTGGCGAGCAGGCTGGAGGAACCGGGGCGGAGGGCGGCGTGGGCCGCGGGGCCGCGGGAGAGGCTGTGGGGGAAGGGTGGCGCTGCGGCCCCGCGGAGGAGAAAAGTGGAGTGCGGTGAAACGGGTTTTTGCAGTTACGGACTGACAGTGAAGTGATGGCGCTGATGTTTTTAACTGCACCTCAGATTTGAAGAGTGTTGAGAACTTAAAGGGGTCGGAGGAAGGGAGACCAGGAGAGTGACATTGGCGTGATTTAAAAGTTGAATAATTCTTAAGGGCCGCAGACTGTTGGCTCTAGTGTTTGAAAGGTGTTTTTTTGCGGTCCACATACGGACCGCGGGTATTTATTATTATCCTCCACGAACATTAATTTTATTTTT